TGAAGAAGACAGCTTTTCTCTCCGAACTCTGGTGGCTGGCATCTCAACAGAGCTAAGAGCTTTGCAGACTCGCAGGTTTGCAGTTGAAGCTCTGGTGTCCACATCCTCAGAGAGAGAGGATATGCGATCCCCACTTTAGATGTGAAAATGGAGCTAAGTGCAGCACAGACAGAAGAGGCATCCAGAAGGTTCTTCCCCACCCCCACCCCCACCCTCTGTGCCACATGCCCAGGTAAGGAGGGCTGCCAGAGCTGCTCCATCTGTGACTTCAATCTCCCATTTTGGTTTGTAACAAGAACTAGTGGGAAGCTGAAGGTCAGCAACTGGATTGCCCAGACCAAGACGCTCTTAGCATCTAGTCATTTCTCAGCTGTGAATTTGGAGCTTTCCCAGTTGATTAAAAGAGGTAAAAATCTGGGTGACCCCGCCCTGGTTTTCTACAAGCCAGCTCTCCATGTTACTTTGTTGAGTCCACCCTGAGCTGTTCCTGAACTACTCCATTCCCCTTCCTCCATCACTCCAGGCAGCCCAAGTCCAGAGTCAGGGGACTGAAGCTCACACACACTAACTAAAGAGGCCCTGGAGAGAGCAGAACTCGAGCCTGAGGCCCAATCTAGCCTGATTACAGCTGCTTTGCCTGCCTAATGTCCAACAAGAAAAGCATCCTTTCCAGAGAGCCTTTGCACATCAGATAAATCCCCAACTTCTGTCAGGGTTGATAACTTGACTTCGTGTGGTTCCTCCCCAAGAACATAGCTGTGAATGCATGGTAGGGTCCTACAGGAAAAGAACTTCCTCACTGCAGATTTGTTCAAGAAAAAGTAACTTCTAAACATGACCATCTAGCAATTTTGAGACAGCTAGACCAGTTGGAGTTGGAGGCGTGGCTCAGTTGGTAGAGTGCTAGCCAGTGAGTGAAAGCATCAGGTCTAGAGTTCAAGTACCAGTCTCAAGCCAAAACAAATCAAAGAGAGCCAGACTTGGGGGAGCAGCCCTGTTGGCTTCCTCCTTGTAAAAGTTGTGGGTTCACCCCACCCCATCCAACCACCCAGCTTTCTATTTCCATTTCTAACCTTGCCATCAGCACAGTAGACTTGTCCCAAACATTCCTGGTAGTTAAGTATTAGAGAAAAGGACAAAAGTGACTCACAAAAGAGGTCACCATATTTCAGAGCATATTTCTGCTTTGAATTTGTCTTGGGGCTCATCCTCTTCGAGGTGCATCGTCTTGCCTTGCTGTCTTACTTCCTTTCCTTCCTGACCTGTATTCCTCTCCACTGTCTGTCTGCCCACTGGGTTTTCTGTGCCCTTCTGCTATGAGGTGAGAGCAAGTTTGGTGCTTCATTAGTGTTGACTAAATCTTTTCAGAACCATTGTATGCTGAGGGACAGGCTGCTCTGTGTGTCTTCCTCTACATGCTCAAAGTGGGTTCGGGGATAGTGCATCAGAGTAAGTCACCACCGTCCTGCAGCAAGAGGTCAGGAAAGATTTAGAAAACATTCTCATCCCATCTCCATCTTTCAGCAAAAGAGCATTCATAGTCTGGGGGTGTAGCTCAGAAGAACGTCTGCCTGGCATGCATGAGACCCCAGGTTCAGTTCTCAGCACTACCAAAAAAAAGTGTATTTTTCATCCTCAGGTAGAAGTGAGGGAGTGCTGATGGGCCCTCCGAGAGGAGCAGGGGTGCGGTGCATGGGGAAGGGCTGTGCATCCTGGAGAAAGTCAAGCAGGCTCTGGGCTGCAGGGGGAGAAGCCTCAAGCCGTGGACAGCCATCCTGGGGAATTTTCTTCATGACTGTGGTATCCTAGCAAACCCAGGCTGTGTGATGCAGGCCCTCTCTGTGCTGTGCCTGCGCCCCCCTGAGCAAGGACCTGGCAGAGTCGGTGGATTTGCTGAGATGTTTCCTAGCAGCTGAGGAAGATGTTGCTCCTCGTGATTTAAACAGGAGCAGGTTGGGGACCTGATACCCTCTCATCCTTCCTGTGTGATGAATAAATCCATGTGCCCTGGGTGAATAATACTCACCACAATTCCAAATGGGAGAGGATTTTAAAAGCACTTAGGGTTTATCCTTCAGCAGAATAAGAAGAGGCTAAAGCAAATAGAAATTTATTGTTACATAGACCAGTCCACTTCCATCTGACAAAACCTAGTTCATAGAGAAAGATGCTTTGTGCCAAAGGCGATCTGTTCTTTCCTCCCAAAACTATGCCCTTTAGTTCCTGCACTAAAACCTGACCTCGTTTGTATGTTTCTGTTCATTCTCTTCAAGGTCAACCCTTCCCTGAAAACAAAAGCCAGGCTTCGGTGGCTCACAACTATAATCTAGGCTGAGATCTGAGGATCACGGTTTGAAGACAGCCTGGGCAAGAAAAGTCCATGGGAGACTCTTATCTCTAATTTATCACTCAAAAACAGGAAGTAGAGCTGTGGCTCAGAGTGGTAGAACGCTAGCCTTGAGCAAAAGAGCTCAGGGACAGCACCCAGGCCCTGAGTTCAGCCCCATAACCAACAACAATTTGTTTTTAAGTATGCATTATTTGGCATGGAGGAAACTTGTCCAAGCTTGATGAATGGTGTGGCCTCATCCCTCTGTGAAAATGTGGTTCCTTTGTGGAACAGCCTGCTTCAAAACAGCCTTTCTTCTAACCTTTCTAAACTATCAGTCTTCCTTGGAGTCCTTTCTGGGATATGCTACTAACCCCTCAGGCCTTTCCTAATGGACTTGAACATTGTCTAGAGATCTGGTCTCTTCTAGGATGAGCTGATCCAGGTTTATCATCACAGCAGCAACCTGCACGTGATTGAGTGAGAAAGAGGTTCCCGGATCAACCCACAGACACACACATGCATCCTAGGAACTCACACACAGGGACATTGAACCGACACCATTATGAAGCTTGTTCCTTTACATTACAATTCCCAAGTAACGTACCAGTCTCTTCCATGCAAAGCCTTTCTAAATAGAAAATTACACTCTGAAATTGGTGGTGGCTGTTCAGCCTCATTTTGATACCAGGAATAATCAATCTGTCTGCCGAGGAAAGGTATAAAGATTACAAAAGGAACTTGGTTCCCGCACAACCAGTCAGTCTCATGTATTGCCTTTACCTCCAACAGAGCAAGACTTTCTTCATTAATTGATGTGTGGATTCATACTGTATTTCGCGGTTCATAACCTGAGATTGATAGAAAGCACTTTGGGGCCATGGAGCAGTGTCGCTCGGTTTGACTGTAGAAACCATCACCACCTTGAGACTTTGCCAAACGCCATTATGGGGCAGACTAGTCGTCTTAGGGAAAGGTAGCAACTTGTGTTGGTTTGGCCAACTGATTGACACTCAATTACGAAGTCCTGTAAATGTGTCCGTGGGGAGCTTTGCTGGGGCCCGCTTCCTCTCTGGGTGATCAAACCTCCGGGCTCCTGGCATGCCTCTCCTATGGCCCTTGCCTTAAGACATGGGAAGATGCGTTTGCTAAAGAGAATGGCTAACAATATTAGTTATTTGTTGGTAAAACAAACCACTTGATGCTGGCTAGCACATGAAGAGAAGACATTTATTTAGGTCATAGTTATGGAGACCCAATGGCGAGATGGCAGCCTGTTCCCAGGGCCTCATAGCCAGTGGGATCAAAGTGGCAGGAATGTGTATAGAGAGAGATTGCATGGTAAGACAGGAAGCAAGCAAGAGAGACTCAGGGCCAGCTTGCTCTTTGCTGCTTTTGTTTGTTTGTTTCTTTTTCCAGTCCTGAGGCTTGAGCTCAGGGTCTGGGCGCTGCCCTGAGCTTCTTTTGCTCAAGGCTAGCAGCACTCTACCACTTGAGCCACAGCACCACATCTGACTTTTTCTGTGTATGTGGTCCTAAGGAATCGAACCCAGGGCTTTATGCATGCTAGACAAGCACTCTTCCACTAAGCCACCTTTCCAGTCCCCAACTTGCTCTTTGGATAACACTTCCCTCTCAGGAGCCCTCAAGAACTACAAGGCAACCATGGTTTAGGTAACCATGACCGAACTACCTTCCTCTAGGCTTCACTTGTTATAGGCCGATATATCACGTCCCAATATCCATGCACTGGGGACCAATCTCGCAGCATGGACCTGTGGGGACGCATTCAAACCACACCACGCCCAGTCACTGCTGCCAGAGAAGCCCTGTCTTGCCACTGCACACCAGGTTAGAACTGTGTTTCTTTTGCTTATGACATGCTGGGGTCGAGGCTGCAGCCGTTCTCCTCACATAGCAAGTCCGGACCAGCTACCTTGTCTGAGTCCTTTATCTCCTGGAGTTTCCTGATCTCAGCTGGCAGAAAGAGCAAGAAGGACTCGGCAGGGACAAACGCTTCCACAGCACAGGTCCACACAGATCCGTGTCATTCTCCCCGGGTTCCATCCTCGGGGATTAGTCACAGGCCCTCCCAGGCGCAAGGCCCTGCAAAACCCTTCTAGGCCGGGCAGAGAGAAGAGCAGGACCTGCTGGGGTGATGGTGGACTCTGCCATAGCCCCGTGGAGTCCTGGAATTCAGAGGCAAGTGCATTTCTGGTCCATCTCCATGCTCTCCCAGCCCCGCTGGCAACTCCACCTTCAGAGCACCGAGTGCTGCCGCCAGCTGTGCCCAACTTCCATTCCCAGAACCACGAGACGGGTCAGGGTATCTGGACATTGATCAACAATGGTCATGATGTGTTGTTTTAAACTTCAGCTAGGAATTCACTTCCTGCTGTGTCAGTCCCATCAGGACTATCAGTGAGGTCTTTGGATGAGATTGTGTAAAGCCGTTGATTTGAAAGCCGTTAGTGATTTCTTTGCTAACACCGCTTCCTGGGTGATGATGCACCGTACAGGATGCGGGAATGAGTGTCACTCTGTCTGAATGTGCCTGATCTAGTGCTGAGCATCTGGGCAGGTGCTGCCAGCAGGAGGCACCGGTCACAGGGGGCCGAGGCAGGCAAGGCCGGGCCACATGCTGACCACTCTCTGGGGCTCTGCCTCCCAGGTTCCCGTTTCCCATGGTGTTCAGCAGCTGCAGCAGGAAGGACCTGGAGACCAGCCTGGACAAAGGCATGGGGGTATGCCTCTTCAACCTGCCGGAAATCAAGCAAGCCTTCGGGGGCCGGAAGTGTGGGAATGGATATGTTGAAGAGGGAGAGGAATGTGACTGTGGGGAGCCGGAGGTAAGGAAGCTGTTTCCGGTACATTCATTGTATGTCCTTGGCTGGGCGAAGAAGCGGGAACTTGGAAAAGTGGCATCAGAATGAACATGCTAGAGAGCCGGGGTGGAAAAGTCCTACATGGCCATCTTCAGCAAAGCCCATTGCACTTGGGTGGCTTTCCTGAATGTTAACTAGTGCCCAGAATAAGTCGTATGATTTTTGTTTAAATAGATAAAGAACCTTCTCTATTGAAGGTGTGATATTCCCAGTAAGATAAAGACAAGAACAATAAAAAAGCATTTAGCTCTGAGTTTGACAGAGAAGAAAGCCTTGGCATTCATTCTAGCTTCAAAGAGCCAATATGCACCATTTCTTCCTCTTTGTAAAGCACACTACTAAAGGGGAATTTGAATTAGCAGCACTCGTTTTCAGCAAAGAACTTCCTGTCAAGTTGAAATTCTGCTGCAGCCTCCTCTGCGTGCACGGCCTGAGGCTGGGGTGTTTCTGCCTCTCGGCTTGTTAGCTTCCAGAAGCAATGAGCAAAAGCAGCAGAAGTGTTCATCCAGCACAGAGCTCATTTAACCCTGCTTCCCAGTCATTTTGAGGAAAATTCCTTGTTTGTGTACAGCCCAAGATAAAGCTAATCAACATTAGAAAGTCTAACAGCTACTTTTTAATCTCTGATTCGTGGCAAGAAAGGAAAGGGAAAGAGAGGAGGCAGAGACCTCCTAGTAAAGCAAGGGCCCCCTCAAAGCTTAGGGGAGGTTGTGCTGAGAATAAATCAAAGCAAGAGGTTTGCAGAGCAAGCAGGCTGTGTGTGGGATTCCCTCCCTTGGAGCTAATGCAAGCCAAAATGGTAGACAGCGTTCAAGACAGGCAAAGCTACACGCACGCACAGATGGGCTTAGTGAGCGCTCAGGAGGAGTTGTTTGGAGGAATGCTCTGAAAGGGGGTCTCGGGGTTGGGAGGGAAACTGCTGAGACAGAGCACCCCAAGCATCACTAATCAACATCTTTCACGGTCAGCCGTGGTCTGACAGCTCAGGGAGGCATGCTGGGAGTAGCTGAGTGGAGAGGGCGAGGGGAGGCGTGGGTGTGACAGTTGAGTATTATCAACAGTGAGGCGGTGGGCTGCAGTGGCGGCGGCGCGTGCCGCTTCTGGTGGGCGGTGCGGTTGCTCGGTGGGCGCACGTCTGGTCTCACTGTGGCAGAGCCTCTGTAGCGTCGTGAAGGGAAATGTGAGACTGTCGCGGGAAGCGACTAGCTTAGGTTACCCGTATTTCTGGACTTCATAGGACTTGTGATGCTTTATGAAGGATAAGAAGTCAGGTCTTCCTAGAGTCATGGACTCTCGGGTTTGAAACAATTCCATGAACAAGCATTCACCCAACTAGGCATCATCTCCACCAGCGTCATTATCACTACCATCACCACTACCATCGCCACCATCATTGCCATCATCACCACCACCACCACCATGACCACCACCATCGTGTCCACCGCCAGCATCATCCCACCTGAATATCATACCACTTCCACCACCAATGACACCATCCACACCAACATCATCACCACCAGCACCACAGTCGTCACCACTGATACCACCCCCTCGCCACCACCAAACCCATCACTGCTACCCCAGCCACCACACCACCATTATCACCACCGCTGCCACCAGGCCAGCTTATGCCTCGGTACCTAGCACTTGCCAGTCCCATTTTGATCTGCCTCGGTACCTAGCACTTGCCAGTCCCATTTTGATCTCCATGAAGGCGTTGTGCTGTCTACAGTCTCTCCGGGTAGTGCAGCGCTCTGCAGGGCTGCTTTGCTTACGACAGACTCCTCCCAGGAGAGAGCCAAGTTCTCCTTGTGTAGGGTCTTTACATGGCACATGGTGCATTCTCGAGATTTTAAGAAACTCTCCTCCCCCTCTTCCAAACCTCTTCTTCCCAAGAAATCTTTTACAGTCACCAGGAGCCTTTTTTCTCCTCCTCGCTTTTTATTTTTATCTTTTACAGTTTACTCCTCACAGTTGAAGCGTCTCCCGATCCTCGCAGTGTAAGAGCCCATTTCCGGTTTCCAAACTGCTTCGCACAGACTTGCAGTCAGACTTGTTATCGGTGCTCTTTACCCTTCCCCAGTGCCCAGAGCCTGCAGATATTCCTTCTACTGTTTATGGGAGCGACGGCTGTGCTCTCTGGCCTGCTCTGCTCCCAGTGTGTTACACCGGGGAACGGTGAGCAGGCGAGTCACGATGACCTCCCCCAGCACACAGCTGGACCGGCCCCCTGCGGCCCTGCTCCCAGAAACCGTCTCCATCACAGCACGCTTGTTCTAACCAGCTCTCGGTGACTAAGGATCTATGTCTGCTATCTACAGCCAGAGAATGACAATTAGGGCCTTGCAGAGGATTCTCTAATGGTTTCATTAGTCTTTCTTCTTCAGAGTCTTAGTATTCATTGGCTATGTTGCTGCTCTATTGACTACTAAAATAATAAATGTATCAACATTAAAAAGATTTGTCTCTTCTGAGAAATGTGGTGTTGCAGAAGGAATAGATATGGGGTAGTTAAACGGCTCGCGGCACAGCCCTCTGGTACAAGGCTTGGATTTATGTCAGTGTAAGGCTATTCTGGCTCCTCGCTCACTCTCCCTGCTAACAGGGCTGGGAGAGCAGCCTTATCTCCTTCTTTAAAGTCAGTAGGATGCCAGTAGCTTGCACACATCTTTTAAACTTGCTTATTCTCACATTATCAATCCCCTTTGAAGTCAAAGGCATTTTACTCTGGCTGCATTTTCATTAAGGCCACTGCTTCTGTTCTTCAGTGATTTGGCAGGGAGGACTCCTAAGAGGTCTTAGGATGAAGATGGCTGATGGCTGATTTAACAGTGTTTCAAGGAAATCTCTAACTTGCTAAATGTATCATTAGCAGAGCCATTTAAACCATAAGAAGCCAAACACCATGTCTGTACATATGAAGACATTCATTGGGAATGCAATAAATGAGCTTCGAAAAAAGAAGTTTCTAAACTTTCCGGGAAATGTAGTCTATAAGCTAGAAACCCTTAGTGTCATGAAAGTTTCAGCTCTGACTTCTGGTTGGAAGTTTTATCTTACTGTATATATTTCACATTCCAGATGTTTATAAAGCCCTCAAACAAATCTAAAAGCTTAATAGTGTTGGAATTCACTAGGATAAGAGTAAATGATAAACAATGATTGCGTAATTCATTGAGCTCCCAGACAATACAGTGCAGGTATCTTGGGCGAGCCTCAATCTTCCTGACTGCTGACAAAACTTATTAATAGCATTTATGATGTCCATGATAGATTCATACATAAAAGATGATCATTTTCAGGAGTAAACTATTATATTGTTAAACTTGCATATAATTAGCTTCTCCCTAGCCAGTAGTACATAAATTCTTCTGAGCACATTGTAGACTGGATAAGAGAACACTGACAATTTGAGCAGGATTAAAGACTTTATGGTCTGTTCCATCCTCTGATAATTACAACATCTTCTAAAATGTGGAAACATCGAGTTACTGGAATGTTCTAAAGTTCACAGGCTTCATAAACTCACTGCATAAATGGGGCAAGCCTTCTGTTGAGAACTAGTAAAAGCTGTCAGTGCCCTGTTTCTTTTGGTTGGAAAAGCAGCATGGGTACTTACAAAGTTTAGCCTACTAAACAGCTTTCTTTCTGTGTTTTGTTTCAGGTAGGACCATGCATTTATATTTGATCTCCTTAGAGTCCTTGAAAATCTAGGCCCCAGCCCTAGCCACCTTCTTGTCTCTCAGTCATTCTAATAACCGGTCCCCAACCAGAGTATGCTAGACCTACAGCCTGACTGTATTGGTGAGATTGCAGGAAATGGGGAATCAAGAATAGTTGGTTTGAAGCCAGGCACTGGTGCCTCACACCTGTAATCCTAGCTACTCAGGAGGCTGAGGTCTGAGGATCGAGGTTCAAAGCCAGCCTGGGCAGGAAAATCCATGAGACTCTTATCTCCACTTAATCATAGAAAAAGCCAGAAGTGGTGTTGTAGCTCAAATGCTAGTCTTGAGCACAATGAGCTAAGGGACAGCACCCAGGCCTGGAGTTCAAGGCCCAGGACCAACAAAAAATAAGAAGTTGGTTTGACTTTGTTTCTTGTCATTGCATCCTATAATCCTACATTAGACGTGGTCCTGTGGGTGTGTATGTGAGTAGGGGGAAGGAAAGGTGCTGAGGCCAAGATCCAAACCTAGGGCCTGATTCATGCGGAGCAACTGCTCTAGCACTGACTTCCAGCACCTATGAAAAAGGCTCATTTTAAAAAAAAAAGAAAAAAGAAAGAACCATTGTACATATCCATGTGTCTTTGTGATTATGTCTATCAGCTGGCCTTGTTCACCAAAGAGCCATGCCTCCATCTTGGAATGTTGCTGGTTAATTAGAGATGAAGTCTTGCAGACTTTTCTATCCTGGCTGGAGTGAAACTGAGATTCTTCAGGTCTCAGCCTCCTGGGTAGCTAGGGTTACAGGTGTGAGCCACTGGCCATATGTATTTGTGAGGAGTAATTTCAAAGTCTTCTGCTGATCCTGATGTATGGAGGTTTCTCTAGGAGCCCCATTGGGCTGCTGGCTACCAGGGCTTCCTGGATGCGGCCTGCCCTCCCCTTCCAACTTCTTGCCCTCCCATGCAGGGCATGGAGTGCTAGCAACTTCTCCCAAAGATGCACAGAGCCACATAAATACCTGGCTCTCCTACAGATGAAAATGGCCTTTGGGTTGGGAGAAATGGTGACAAGCAATGGAAAGATGACACAGGTCAAGATGCATTGTACTCATAAATGGACATGTTGAATTCAAACACCTTTGTGCAACTACTTAAAGATGATGATTTAAAGAAAGGAGTCAGGCCCTCTGATTCTTTGGCAGTCATTTAAGGAGTGCTCTGTAGAATCCTGTTTGACAGAGCTCATCTCTCTGCCAGGAATGTACCAACCGCTGCTGCAACGCCACCACCTGCACCCTGAAGCCAGAGGCCGTGTGTGCCCACGGGCTGTGTTGTGAAGACTGCCAGGTGAGCTCACACAGTGACCTTGGCCCCAAGGTCACCGACCGGTGTGGGTGATTGAATCTGATGCAGGGCCAGTGTTTGTCCTACCAAACTGATGATTCCTGTTCATTGCCAATCATCTGGGATGCATTCTTTACTTACGGGCTGCAAGCTTCTGTAGTGCAACATTACTGATCCTTTGATCTTGTAGAGGCTTATCTCGGTGACAATAGCCATTCAAGGAAAAGCAGACTCCACCTCATCACTTCAAGCCTCCCCGCCTGGTGCTAAGAACACTGGAGGCCAAGAATCTGTGCATGGCGTCCCATGGGGGCTCATGGAAACATCCTGATCATAATGTCCTCCAAACAGAAGATGCTCAGTCTGACCAGGAGAGCCAAGAGGGGCAGCTTCACGCTTGGGCCCTTTGTGCTGCTGGGATTGCGTTTGCTTTGGCAATCTCATTGTTTGTCTCGTTATTCAGAGCTGATAGGTGACAGAAGAGAAGTCTGAGCTTTTAATTCAGCGGTTCCAAGGGTAGAGTTTTATTTCTTGTTCCTTAAGCAATTGATCTTGGCATGCAGCTTACAGGAAACTGCCTCTTACCAGCCCGCCGGAGCACGGTGATTTAGAAGTGCATCGTAATGTTTTATGTTCTGCCTTCCTTTGTCCCCTCCTGATGGTCATGAACTTCTGAGGAATGCTGTAAGAAGCTGGCATTCCCTGGCATCCCCAGCTACTGGGGATGGAAGGTGCCAGAAAGGGGCTGAAGGAAGATAGGAACAGGCTGAGCTTAAACCAGGAGAGGCTCCAGAGGGTCACAGGGAGAGAGGGGAAGGAGGGCCTGTGGCAATGCCTGGATGCAATCCACTTTAGTGACTTTTCTACTACTCCTTCCAAATTCTAGACCTTTCAGAAACTGGCAGGGGTCTTTTCTCTCTGCGCTGATGGGAACCAAGGCTAGAGCTCAAAGGTCTCCAGCTGGCTAGCCTCAGACAAGCTATTCTGACAAAGCGAGAAGACAAAGCAGTGGTCAGAGGGGCTCAAATGCATTTGCCACCCCCATCCTTCAGTACCCCCTGTTTTCCTTCAACTCTAACTCATCCCATAAAGAGGTTTACTCTAGTTCTGTAATACTGATACTGCAGTTATGCGCTCCGAATTATTTTTTACTCTAATTTGCTCACAAAGGTTAACTGAAAATACAAATGACCACTCGAGACCTGGGATGGATTGCTGGGTACTGGTAACTCATACCTGTACTCCTAGTTATTCAGCAGGCTGAGATCTGAGGCTCAAGGTTCAAAGCCAGCCTAAGCAGAAAAGTCCATAAGACTCTTTGTTTCCAACTAACCAGCAAAAAGCTGAAAGCAGAGGTGTGGTTCAAGTAGCAGAGCACCAGCCTTGAGTGAAAAAAAGCTCAGGGACAGCGCTCAGGCCCTGAGTTCAAGTCCTAGTACCAGCAGAGCGGCGGGGAGAGAGGGAGGGAGGAGGGAAAGGAAAGAGGGAGGAATGGAGAGAAGGAGAGGAGGAAAAGAAGATAGAGAAAAGAAAAGAGAGATGGTATTGACAGCTAGAGAACTAGGTGGTGGAGGTGGCAGAGCCAGCCAGCAGCTTGGCTGCCTGTCAGGAAACCCTGACGCTGCAGGTCAGTCATTTGGCCACCTCCCTTACAGGAGAAAGGTAAACCCCAGAGCAAGACTCTCCAATTCAGGGGCTTCCCTGAATCCTCCCACAACTCCACAGGCTGCACTGCTCTGCCCCTGAGCCCCCTCCCCGTGGGCACGATGCTATCACCCACCCTGTCCTTCTAGCTGAAGCCGGCAGGAACGTCGTGCAGGAGCACCAGCAACTCCTGCGACCTCCCGGAGTTCTGCACAGGAGCCAGTCCTCACTGCCCAGCCAACGTCTACCTGCACGACGGGCACCCGTGCCAGGGAGTGGACGGCTACTGCTACAATGGCGTCTGCCAGACCCACGAGCAGCAGTGCGTCACCCTCTGGGGCCCAGGTACGTGGCTGCCTCCAGTTCCACACCAGGCTGGGGACACGTGGTCTGTGTCTGTGTGGAGCCTGCCCCGGGGGAGCTGAGTGTGGGCTAATGCGAGAGGCAGGAAGGCCCACAGCGTGGCACCCTGGGTGGCAGGGGAGAGTCGGCTGGGACTCAGCGTGCATGGGGGTGGACAGACGAAACTCCCCACCACCCTCAGATTGTGGCAATGTCTCGAGTTCAAATGCGGATCCCAGTGAAGGACTGAGGGGGCCAAGGAGAGGTGGCACTTCCACTGCATAGTTATATAGCAGAGTCCCCAGATCCGACTTGAGCAGATCTGTGAACCCCAAAGGACAGAAAGTAGTGCGCCAACTCCCAAACAGGAAAGCCTGTCGCGGGGACGTGAGGACCAACAGGGTGGGAAGTTGGCACCAAGCTTGGATACCACAGGTTTTTTCCTTTCCTTTTCTTTTTGCCAGTCCTGGGGTGTGAACTCGGGGCCTGGGCACTGTCCCTGAGCTTCTTTTGCTCAAGGCTAGCACTCTACCACTTGAGCCACAGCGCCACGTCTGGCTTTTTCTCTTTATGTGGTACTGAGGAATCGAACCCAGGGCTTCCAGCATGCTAGGCAAGTGCTCTACCACTAAGCCACCTACCCAGCTCCTACACCAAGCTTGAAGAGGGAACATGAGGCAGGTGTATAAGAGTCTGGACTGCCATGTTATATGACAGGTTTGATGTGGAGTCTAGAGAAGGAGGGTGGCCAGGATGTGACAGCCAGCATACCTGGGCCAAATCAGAGGCCCTGTGCTCCCTGTGTCCTGGAGCGAGGCCTTCCGTGGGCACTCTGCCAGCTGTCCCTTCCTGGCCTCCAGCGCCAGAGGCAGGGACCACAACAGCAGCACTGCAGAAGGTGAAGCTAAAATTCCAAGACAGGAAGTTCACTTCCCAGGATGCATGATGGGATTTGAACTTGGGACACTGTGGCCCAGCACCTACAATCCTCATAGGCTGCAGTCACCCCCGAACATAAGGAGGTGGTGGCTGAAGTCCCTCGACAGCTGTCAGAGGAGAAGCTCAGAGACAGAGGGGAAGGCTTGGAGCCCTGTGTGTGCCTACCTTCCACTCCTCCATGCTAGAGTCAGAGATCTGGGGCCTTAACCACCCCTGTAAACCATTTTGGATTTGCTCCCCATCCCCAGCTCCCAGGATTCCATCAGAGAATCCCATGAGGAGGGCTCTCCAGTGTTTTGTCTTTTTTTTTTCCTTTCCCTTACTGCTTGCTTAAAATTAAAAGGTGACCTCAGTGCTGGTCTGAGACCCTAGCGCCAGCAAAGCCATGCGGTCAGCCAGGCTGCGACCCAGAGCCCAGTGAGCTCAGACAGCTACTCCAGCAGGAGGGAAATCTGAGATGATTCTGGCTTTGGGAATGATGGGGAAAATAAATGAGAGCAGAAACTGATGGCTGAGCACAGAAGCTGGGGTTTCAGTGCTACGTGGAAGCAGAGAGCAAGTGTGGGGAGCGTGGCTTAGAGCCAGGTCCTGCTGGGGGTCCACTGTTCAGCCAAAGATGTCCCTGTGCCCCAGAGCCCCCTGAGCAGGCTGGTCGTGGGGACGGCATCTGTGGGTACAACAAGGAGGCCCGGGGCCTCTGGTCCTCCGGCTCCATCCTGGAGGCCTAGCACCCCTCAGCTCTGGTCAACTTCTCCAGCCAGCTATGACTTGCTTGGGGCAGGAGCAGGGATGCCTGTTGTACTGGCAAGCACCAGGAAGGTGCTCACTGTATACGCCTCAAACGGCTACAGGGCTTTGAGTAGCTTAGTGACCTCAGACCCCTTTCAGCCAAGTGAGGTCACTCTGGGCCAGCAGCTGCTGCTGCGTGCCGGACCCTCAAGGCCTCGTGTGTCCATGGGGGCCGCCTCCTTCCCCACCTTCCTCCCATCTTCCTCCCCGCTCTTCTGCAGTCAGTAAACTCCTTTCTGAGAAGACAGAGGCCTTCTGGCAGGTCCTTCCAGGGAAAGCTCTGCCCCAGAGCACACCCCCAATCCCAGCTGTGCATAGACGTGCTCTGTAGTGCCCTGCTCGGCTGCCACTCCTGGCCTCCCTCCAAAGTGAGGTCAGATGGAACTCCACAGCTCTCTCTGAGCCACTCTGCCCTGTGACTCAACTGGCCATATGCCCTCGATTCATAGTGACAGAGGCTGGTGTTCATTCTCTCACCGGACTAGGCCTTTCCAAGTTGCCTACTGAGAGAGAACAAGGGAGGGGGAGAGAAAAAGAGAGGAAGAAAGGTAAGAGAGACAGAGAGACAGGCAGACTGACCCAGCAGAGATCCAGATAGGAAGACTGACAGCAGGAAATCCAGCCCTCAGACATGCTTTTCCTAAACAAGAGCGACAGAAACAGTACCTATTTCAATTCTCAGAATCCTTGTGGACCGGGTGAGCCAAAGTGCTGCTCAGGAAGCTGTGTCTCATTCCTGAGGAGGGGCTTTCTCAGATCTGCCCCCCTTAGTTCTTTGCTCTGCCATCCACCCTCTCCGTGGTCACTGGACAGGCCTTGGACTGGAGACCGCAGGTTTGCTAGGAGTGATCCATTGCACTTATGCCAAACCCATAATGGAACCAGGTCCAGAAGGCACCTCAGGCCCAAGACCCTGGGGCCCAGTGAACCTCTGCCAGCCCCATCTCAGGACAAATCACCCACAGACTCCTCAGGAGAGCAGAGAATGTGGAAGACCACCACAAGCTGTGGTTCTCGGGACCAGTGGCCTCTTAGAATGGGCTTTTGCCCCCACTTACAGGTATGAGGGAAACCTCTCCCTTCAAAGCAGTGGGGCAGCCAAAACTCACTCTGTAGCCGGGCACCCATGGCTCACACCTGTAATCCTAGCTACTCAGGGGGGTGAGATCTGAGGATCGTGGTTTAAGCCAACCCCGGCAAGAAAGTCCGTGAGACTCATCTCCAATGAACCACCAGAAAACCGGGAGTGGCGCTGTGGCTCAAGTGGTAGAGTGCTCGCCTTGAGCTGAAGAGCGGTTAGCCCAGACCTGCAATTCAAGCCCCATGGCCAGCAAAAAATAAAATTTTTTTTAAAAATCCTCACTCTGTGAATCTCCTGCCACCACTGAGCCAACTGCGACCTTCGCGAGTTACAGGAGCGCAATTTTATCATTCTGTAGTTTTGGAGGTATTGACAGGACTGCTGTTCCTGAAGGTCTGTAGGACACTGTCGTCCTGCCTTCTTGAGCTTTCAGGAGCCATCTGCTTTCCTGGCTCCTCCTCTGTCTTCAAACTGTCCTGGCCTCTGCGTCGGTAGTCACATCTCTTTGTCCATCCCTTGACCTTCCTGCCTCACCCCATAAGGACCCTTGTGATTATATCAGGATCTTTAATCACATCTGTAAAGCCCCTTCTCCATGTCCGGTGACAGAGTCACAGGTGCAGACTCAACTGTGGACCTTTTGGAGGAGTAGAGAGGGCTGGCGTTGGACAGACCACATTGCTCCTTTCAGCAATGTGCTCAGCCTGTTGTGCATCCACTGTAAATTACATCTAGGAATCCGCCTGCTCCAAAGGCATTTTGTTAGCCTATATCAGGTCAATAATCTTATCATATTTAGTAGATCAAATTTGGGACCATTCCTGACACAGAGCCCCTTGTAAATCTAAATTCTATAAACAAGATGCATCTGGGGTTGGCAGGAGCCACTGGACTCGGAAGCAAGCACTCAAGTTCTTGGGAGATTACAAACAAAACCCCTGTGTGGATGGTGGGTGGGACAGAGGAGAGCAGACAACTGGTAGACCTCATCTACCCCATGGAAGAGGAAGGGCATTTCTAGCATCCAGATGGGATCAAGAAGGCACACAGGGGCAAGTGTAGGTGGCTCTATGTAGTGCTCAGGCTGTGACTCGGAGAAGAGAGATCCTCATTTGTCACCCGTTCTCTCATTTGGTAAGCATCTGTTGGCATCCTGCTATGTGGAAGATGCTGACTTGAGAGCCCCATTCTGCCAGATGCACACGCTTCCCTCAGTCCCCTTGCCTTTGCTCAGGATGTGACTACATCAGTGTCCTCTGGGAACTGCTGATTTGGGACAACTGCAGCCCTGGGGGCAGAGGTGACTTCCTCAGCAAGGCCTCTGGCCAGCCAGATGTCCAGGATAGAGAGCATTGAACTGCTTTGTTACAGGGGTTAGTATAAATTAGCTTTTTGTGCATCAGGAAGAAAATGCTGTTCAGGCTGCATTCACAGTATTTTGTTCCCCCCAACAGCAGTAAGTGTCTAGGGTCTGGACTGTGTTTGCATGGGGTCAGTCGGAGGCCTCCAGGGAGGCAGAGTTACAAAGTCCTTGCTGTGGGGGCAGTGCCACTTACCCCAGTGACCTGCCTTACTTGTTGAGTCATCCAGAACTCTCCAGTTACATCCAGGATGTCCGTTACTCACTTGCCAGAGCTGGCTACCCCAACACTGACCGGATGAAGCCCTTCCTTCCAGCTAACTATTCCGTTTAGGTATGAGCTTTTCTCAATCCAGCACTACATTGCAATAAAATACTCCTGCATCCAAATCTTTCCACAAATGAAATGATAGAAAATTCAAAACATATGCCTGCTACTCCAAAACGGCAAAGTGACACACTTTCACAATAGTTTTTGAAGTTTTTTATTCATTCATTTGTTTTCTAATTGCTGTTGTTGATCATCTTCCTGTTGGCTGGGAGTTTTCTTTCCCTCCCACAGATCTTGCATCTCCAGACTTTCTATGCTGATCCCAAGGACATAAATGTCCCTGGTAGTTCAATGCTGGCATTTAGCATTCTTGGTCCAATTCCATCTTAGTGTCCACTAAGCTTTTGTTGGGATGGTGGTTGATATGGCTGAAATGCAGCTGGATATTTTTTTTATTAAGTCAGCAGATTTCCTTTTGCCAGTGTTTGTCAAAACCATTACCATGGTGACTGACAACTTGGCTTGGCAATTAATCTCACAGATAACTATATGGTAACGACATGCCTGAAGCCACACAGAACTTACCTTAGGGAAATCCTGGAACATGCTAGTGTTTATCTATTTTATCACTCACCAGAATCTAGTGTCATTTGATTTATGCAGCGTGAGCTGGCCAGATGATTTTTATGGGCTGGTAAATATTCAGTGTTTATCTGCAAGGCTGCTTTATACGAGCTCAGCTTAGTGAAATCCACCTGGGGCCCTGCATTTACTAATCACCTACAAGCCTAGTGGTTACAGATGGAGGAACGGATAACATTTGCCAAGAGGCATGTTGTTTAGGAATCAGGAAAACCTTCCTTTGGTTCATAGTGTTGGGATGAAATGATAACATTTTCAGTGATAACATGGGGGACTTCATTTTCTGATGAATACGAAGTCTGATTTGGAGAATAAAGGACCGAGAGAACAAGCCAGAGTCCCAATTGTTTGTTCAAACGCCTTTGTATGTAGGTATTAGCAACAACTGTTGGGGAAATGAGCGACAGAGGGAGGCAATAGCTGATTGACTGAACGGAGAAGTACATTTGCATAATAGAATAATTTGAAGTAAAAGCATACAAGGAGTAAACTATGAGTTTCATTGGAGAGGCCATCATCTCTCTTTCAAAAGATGTAATGACATTGGGAACTTCCAAACTACAATTACAAATGTAAGTTATATCACTCCAAAGATAAAACTGGTAATTAAAGTCTATCACTTGCAACATAATTATAAAATGCAGTGTGATATCAAAATTCCCTCTGAAAGGCTAAATTTTATCTCTTGATAATGGCAAAACATCTAAGTGTTCCATTATTAAGAACTCAAAGGCTTTAAACTGATGTACTATAAGAGTGATAAGAAAACGCGTCATTCCTCCTACCAACTGTGAAGACATGAAATTCAGCATTTGCAAGTGCCACCGCTTTGAATCCCCACTCTGCCCTTTGTAACGTCTTCCGGGAGGACACAAGCCTACTTTTTAACATGACGGACCACTCTGTCTCTAGGAAAAATAAGAGCTGGCAGCTAGCATACCATGGCCGTGTAAAGTAATCTGTTGTCCCTCCCTGCCCCTCCTCCACCAGCTACCACGTCTGGAGCGGCCAGGAGCCGGGAGTCCTTTGCGATGGCCCCTCCGAGTCCCTTTCCTTTGCGGCCCAAGCTCAGCTGTATCCCACGGGAGCCCTCTTGAGCTTCCCCCCTTCCAAGCTCTCATTTTCTCAGATGGAGGAACTGCCATTTCTCTTTTCTGGAACTGAAATGTCCATCTTTTTGTGGCCTTGCATAAAGCAGCTCAGTAATTCCTCACTCTGCACGAATCCATGAAGAGCCGAAGTCTCAGTAAAGCTCAGCAGGATGATGCGGGTGCAGAATCCTGGTGGCTTCCGTGGGAGCTGCCGGTGGCAGGCAGGCGTAACTGGTGCATAGGAATGGTGAGCTCTAGCCAGGTGCTCACCAGCCCCAGGAGGTGGCTGCGGATGCTGCCTGGCAGGATCCTAATACCTCACCTTGAAGGTAGAGACAGCAAAGGCGTGTTGCAGACTAGAATGAGTCATAACTGCGTCCTCATAACTTTGATTCGTTTTAAACCCCGTGGTCAGATCTGGGTTCTGGGAGGTTGGCATCCTGCCCATTGGAAGCTTAGGAGAAGTGTGCAACCCACAGGCCAGCGAGGGAGAAAAGAGAGAAGGTGGGCCAGTCCCACCTTCCCACTGCGGGCAGTGCGTTCTGAAGGACGCACCACGCTCGCCTGACTTCCTCGTAGGTGACGGTGGATACCATTATGCACAGGAGTCCTGGAGCTTCCACGCTGCAGACCTCCTTTACACGCTGTCTTTGCTTGGCTGTAAACCGTGCTAACAATGGCTGTTCCCTGCTGGGAACTGTCGTGACACTCAGGACTCCAGACTTCATAGCCTCTGAGAGAAGTCTGCTTTGCAAAAATAGGCATACATTGAAGCCAGCATCTTCTCCTAGAGAAGGACTGGAAGCATTGTGTACGATCTCTGTGTTGCTCATTTGTTCTGTCTTTCTCTGTGTGTGTGTGTGTCTCTCTCTTTCTCTGTATCTCCCTGTCTGTCACTATGTGTCTCTGTCTGTCTGTCTCTGTCTCCCTCCTTTCCTCCTTCCCCACATTAGTCATCATTCCTCTTCGGAGCCTTCCCTGGCTTGCGCTTTCTCACCGGAATTGTGTGGGATGTTGCTGAAGAGAGTAGCTTCCCTTGCCTGCAGCCAGCTCTTTCCTGCTCCAGATTGAAGCTGGCCACACAGGTAGGCCTCATCTCCGGAGAGGCTGCGCGTGCCAGGGGCCCTGCATAGCAAGCCTCCAGAAGAGAGTGAGTGGTGAGCTGTGGGCTTTGCCGTGAACTGAGGTCAAAAGAGGGTGGTAGGCTGGCGGTGGCCATTCCAAGCTCCCATCACCAGTCAGTCAGATTCTACAGACCCTCTGAGCACAGAGGGCATCTCTTCTCAGCCCTAAAGCCCGGTGATGCACTGAGAAATCCAGAAACACACTCCAGAGATGAAGACGCCATTGCGCTTTCTGTTCCAGGTGCTAAGCCTGCCCCCGGGATCTGCTTTGAGAGAGTCAACTCTGCAGGGGATCCCTATGGTAACTGTGGTAAAGATGCCAAGAGCGTATTCACCAAATGCGAGATGAGGTATGATGTCCACACTTCCGGCCACGCCATGGCTGTGTCTTCTCAAGTGACTTCGGGTGGGCTCCAAACTGTTCCTCCTTTGAAGTTGTTCCTTCTTGCCCTTCCAGAGATGTTAAATGTGGGAAAATCCAGTGCCAAGGAGGTGCCAGCCGACCAGTCATTGGTACCAATGCGGTTTCCATAGAAACAAATATCCCACTGCAGGAAGGAGGTCGGATTCTGTGCCGGGGGACCCATGTGTACCTGGGCGATGACATGCCCGACCCCGGCCTTGTGCTCGCAGGGACCAAGTGCGCAGATGGAAAAGTAAGACCCCAGTTCTCACTTGCATCATACATGTAAGTCTGGAACAGGGCCCGCTGAAGGACGGCCTGTTCAAGAACCGGGGGCTGAGATGGGCTTGTTTTCCTAAATCTACGTCTCCTCAGCATGCAATCTCTGGATTCCAGGCCTTTGGAACTAGAAGAAAGTGTTGATAAAGCTGAGGTCCCAGTCTGCCCAGGGAGATACAGATGAGTGGGAGTCAAAATCGTCTTCCCAGCCCTTTTGTGTTTAATAAGTCATTTCTTCACCCTGACTGTCAGGAAGGTTTCCAGCCAGGAAATTACTCTGGGAAGAAATGCAATAGTGGCGCATATTGCTTTTGGAAACGGGGCTGGGCTTTTGGCACCACATTCTCCGGTGCTTGTTCTCACCTGGACAAAGTGGGAGTCGGCTGAACTTTCAGAGACCCTGTTGAGAGAAGGGAAGAGGCGTCCATGGTGAGCCAAAGGGGAGCTGCTACCCTGAGATCATTTGAGATTGAAGAATAAAATCTGTTTTTTTAGAGACATAAATTGAGATGTTCATGTTCTGCTACACAGATAGTATTTTTTTTTACTAGGCTTTCTCATCTGACTAAATGATAGCAAATTCATAAAATGTTTTAGGGGGAAAGCACACATGAATCATCTCCCAGTGCTTTTTTGGATGATCATGAAGCCCCTCACAAAAGAGGAAGGACAGGTGCCCCTTCTGTCCCCTTACAGAATCCCACAGTCAGGAATGCCAGCCGTTCCTGCCCCGGCCCCTCCTATCCCCAGCACTGGATGCTGTTTTCGGTGGAAAGTGACAACACAGTATGTCCCATGTTCTGTGGGACCCCTCACCCACCTTTGCTTCTGTTCAGGCCTTCACATTAAACAGTGCTGCCTGTAAGCCAAGGTACAGGTTACCAGCACCAAACAGTGGGGTTCCAAGGGCACCATTACTTTTGAAGAGGTTTTTAGCTTCTCCGGTGGGCTCTGAGCCAAGCGGCACCCACGCCCTGTGGTCCTAACAGGATCTCTTATTAGCTGGAATAGGACAGTCTTCTTGGTCAGGATCCTATCGCTCCTCAGAGCCGCTCACATCCAGGCATTCACCTTGAGCTCGTGACATCTGATGGTGACCTCCATGGCAAAGCTTGCCCTGGTTACTAGGCTGCTTCTACATTCTAAGCATTTCTGGGTTCTACACATTAGATTCTTCTTCCTAACTTGTAACTTCTTTGTTTTTCTTTTTACTTTGGCAGTTTTAGGGCTTGAACTGAGGGCCTGGGGGCTGTCCCTGAGCTCTTTTTGCTTAAGGCTAGTGCTCTACCACTTTGAACCATAGCGCCACTTCTGGTTTTTGAGTAGTTAATTGGAGGTACGAGTCTCACAGGAACTTTTTCTGCCCAGGCTAGCTTCCAACCATGATCCTGAGATCTCAGCTTCCTGAGTAGCTAGGCTTACAGGCGTGAGCCACCAGGGCCTGCCTCCTAACTCTAGAGAGGATCTGGTGTCTGTCACATACCTTTGGAATGAGGTAGACTCTTCCAACCAGCCCAGGGTCATTTCACAAAGCTCAGGTCATTTCCCCTACTTCGGCAGTGTCTGGGTAAGCACAAGGGGCCTGTTTTCCTCTGCTGAGCATTTCTGTTGATGGTTTATGTCACTGATGATCCTACTTGTCAGTCATTATTTTTAAAAAGTTCTCATGGTTCACTATGCCCCTCAAAGATCTTTAGCTGTGGATTCTTGGAGTCTGTGAGTTTGTCCAGGCTCCCCAGGTAAGGGACTAACCCATCTTGCCTTCCTTCTGTCTTTTAATGGAGATAAAAATGCTGCATTAGGGCTGGGAATGTGGCTTAGTGGTAGAGGACTTGCCTAACATGTATGAAGCCCTGAGTATGATTCATCAGTACCACATACACAGAAAATGCCGGAAGGGGTGCTAGCCTTGAGCACAGAGAGGCTCAGGGTCAGTGTGCAAGCCATGAGCTTAAGCCCCAGGACCAGACACATACATACACACATTCATACACACATACATACATACATACATACATACAGCAAGCTGCATTATATAGGATTCACAGCAAGCCCCCTCCCACCTTGTGAGAACACTCATTACAGTTTCAGGATTGGCTAAGACTATGAAGTGTAAGAATTCAATAGTGTTCACGTGGGCCTGAGTCTTGGAAAAGGGCCACGTTGGGATTCAGACAGTAGAGACCCACAGCTGAGCCAAACAGGACACCGTTAGGGTACATTGCCCTGGCAGAAGGAAGCGCTGTCTTGAAACTTTGTTCTGGGTTTTTGAGCTCACGTGTGGGAGGGGAGGGGACACATCAGAGACGTTTGCTCTGTTCTTCCTTCCTCAGATCTGCCTCAACCGGCGATGCCAGAACGTCAGCGTCTTCGGCGTTCACGAGTGCGCCATGCAGTGCCACGGCCGGGGAGTAAGTTGCGCTGCTGCCTTGTCCTGCCGAGTGTCCCCGAGCACAGCATTCCATGTGGAAAGACGTTCGCAATCCGTGGCACTCTTTAAAGTCTGTTAGCTACGGTGGTGTCCTCTCGATATTTCTTCTGAGGACACTCATTGCTTCCGACCTTTACGTGGCAGGAGAAATGTCATTTCCATCTTAACAAAGCAAATCAGATGGAGTCGTAATTATCTCTTAAATTAACATCCTGTGATTTCAAGAAAGCGGTCTGCCATCTTCAAAGTCGTTTCAAGGGTAACCCTGCTCGTGGAGTGCTTCACATTGTCATATCTCTACCACTTGAAATGACATCTTTTTTTTTTTGGTCAATGGTGGGGCTTGAACTCTGGGCCTGGGCGCTGTCCCTCAGCTCTCAAGGCCAGCGCTCTACCACCTGAGCCACAGTACCACTTCCAGCTTTTTCTGCTTATGTGGTGCTAAGGAATCGAACCAGGGCCTCATGCATGCAAGGCAAGCGCTCTACCACTGAGCCACCTTCCCAGCCCAATGTTGTCATGTCTCACGGGGCTGTCCTTCTCTCTCCCAACGCTCCAAATTCTTCCAAAAGGGACTGCAGCAAGGACAGCCATTGCACTGACGGTGTGTTTTGGACACACCACGCAGTGGGTTTACACGCCCACAGGCTGTTACTTGATTCAAAAGATCTGTAGGAAAGAAGAGGACTCCATTTTAAATGTAATGTCTTTGTCCCCATGGTTTCCAATGGAACCATGTTCATCTTGATTAGCCAGGCCAACCGTTCAGTTTTGTTTTTCTGAATTTTTTTTCTACAGAAATCATGTTCCAAGTGCTTTCCCATAATTCATGCATGGGAGGGGGTAGGGTAGGGAGGGTGGGGCAGTTTCTCTGCGGGGGGGGGGGGGCCGAGGGGCGAGGGATTGTGGCTGAATGTTGAATGGGAGGCCATTCAGGGCTTTATGCAAAGTCCATTGGGCAGATTGTCAGCAGTACCTTCCAGGAATCAGCCAAGAGGCTTAGACTTCCGCAGACCTTACCGCAGGTGAGGGAGCCCTGCCTGCTCACAGCGCCACCGCCCACTTCACAGCTCTTCTCCACGGTCGGCCTTCATCTTAGGAGCAATTGGGCAGATGGTTGGATCAATCAAAAAGCAGGGAGCCGTCCCTGTAAACAGGAAGTGATCACTAGTGGTGCACGCCTGCTCTGAGCATTTTATTCGGCCTTTAAATATTGAAGTGTACCCACCCGACTTCTGTATATAAACTGCTCAGAAACTCATCCCTCTGACCCATAGTTTGTTTCCTGAGGTGAAGAACAACTTAGACATGCTCCCTAGAAGCCACACGCTCTGGGCTTCGTGCTGGGACTCCACTGGCGTGTGGAGTCGTTGCCTGCTTTACACACGTATCAATAGTGAGTCCGTAGGTTCAGGGACTTCTGCCATCGCGGTCCCTCGGCATCTTGGGTCCCTCCATGAAGGGTGCTCATCTTCCATCTGGTGTTGGTGCTGGGCTCAGCGAGGGCAGAGCCATCCGCTTTTTGTCTGCAGCCTTTCCTGCCACGGCCCTGGCATCCTCTCTCTTCACAAGGGAGAGCTGGGGAAAGGCCCCAGGCCCCAGGCTGCAAGACGGAGGTGGGCATTCCGGAGCAGGGGTCAGGCGGGCTGGGAGGAAGCGCAGCAGCTGCCCTGTGCCCTTCCTCAGGTAGCAGGGACAGTGGGTGAGCCTTGCTTCTGGTTGGGAAACCTCCTTCCACCTCCTGTCCGCTGAAGCACGGCCTCCGATGTCCCAGGTCCCTGATGCAGGTCCCTGTCCACTGCCCTCACAGTCGAGAAGGGGAGGCGGGAGCCCGGGAGGCTTTGGTGTCTTGAGAGCGTTTGCTCCCGGGCCCAGGCGTTGACGCGGCTGCTTGCTGCCAGTGAGGTTCGCTGAGTGTGGGGGTGCTGGTGACCCCAGTGATCTTGTATCTGCTGCGATGCTCAAGTTGGATGTAAAGACTTACCATGCTTCAGGAGGACGTGCCCCTCATGGCTGCCCTCCCTCCCTCTCCCCTGCTGTCTTAAAGGTCTGCAACAACAGGAAGAGCTGCCACTGCGAGGCGCGCTGGGCGCCTCCCTTCTGTGACAAGTTTGGCTTTGGCGGAAGCACAGACAGCGGCCCCACCCGGCAAGCAGGTGAGTGGCGCCCGTCCCCCCGGGCGAGGTGCTGAGCGGCCGGGGAAGCGGTGAGCCCGCACTCAATGCACGCACGTGGCCCAGCCCAACTCGCTGCCCTGTCACCGATCTTTCCAGAAGCCCCCAGACTCTGCCGTGGCTGCAGTGTGTGTCACAGTCAGCCTGTGACGCAGTGTCTGTAGCAGGCTTCCAGAGGACTGTGAACATCCTCGTCATTTCCGAGGACTTGATAACAGCCAGCCCCTCCAGGCCCCCTCCGCGGGCTGCGAGGCTCAATGCCTTCTAAAACTCTGACCGGGGTTTTAACAAAGCTGGCTGTCCCCAGAGCTCCAGCGTGATGGAGCCTGTGCGCAAGCTTCTCCACCACAGCTGCGCTGGGACCCTCTGGTCATTTCTCCTCGGGTCACTGGTGCAGGACGGCCTTCTCTGAGTTGACATCTCATGACGCAAAGGCCCCTCGAAGCCATTCTCTCCTTTATAGTAGAAGCCAGGCAAAAGGTGGCAGGCCGCCAGCAGGGGGTGCCGCTGCCCTGGCTCCCTTGGTGCTCAGTCAGCCCCTGGTGACAAGGAAACCGTGACCAATGCTGCCTCAGAGGGGACCTCACGTCCCCAAGGCCTGCTGTGACCAGCAGTGTGGAATCCTTGGCTTTGCCATCGTTTCCATGACAACAGACACAACAGTGCTGTGTGGGGCCAGGGAACACTGGCAGGGCTCAGGGCAGGGACAGCAGGCACATGTGCGGCCGCCTCCCCTCTGAAAGAGGACAGGAGCTCATGCGCTGTCCCTCCCTCAGGTGCAGCAAGTGGGAAAGGACCAGAATGCCTTCCGCTTTGTCCAGCATCCGTTGAAGTGGGTGGAAGCCAGGGCTGGGCCCAGGGACCTCTCTACCCTTCAGGGCAGCTCAGCCTTGACAGCCAGTCTCTTGCTGCCATGTAATATTCCAATAGGACTTTCAAGGGTTTATTGTACAAAAAGTAAAGATTACTTTGTTGCTTTGGTTTGATTTTTCTGCCAATCCTGGGGCTTGAACTGGGGGCCTGGGCGCTGTCCCTGAGCTTTTGGATTCAAGGCTAATGTTCTACCCCTTGAGCCACAGCTCCATTTCTGGCTTTCTGTAGTTTATTAAACTGAAGAGTCTCACGGCCTTTGCTGCTCAGGTTGGCTTCAAACCGCAGTCCTCAGGATTCCATGTGTGAGCCACCAGCGCCTGGTGTAACGTTTGTGTTTTATCAAGAGCCCTGCCACCCAGCCTGTCTCTGTTCAAGTCGACCCAATTATCACCCGAGGAGGCTGGCGGAGAACGCACAAACTGCGTATCACTCCAGTACAGACTCGCACTACAGTGCGCATGGCATTAGGGTTCCCAGGGAGGCCTCAGATTTGAGAGTTTCCAAACTCAAGACACAAAGGGGCTCCTCCCAGAGCAAGGGCCTCTCTCTGCCCCTCTGCAGAGGGTGAGCGAAAACTGGGGTAACGGAAGCCCCCTGCACGCTGTCCCCGGCCGCTGAAGGGTTGTGTGCACACCTTCTGTGTGGAGCATACCTGAACACTGCTGGTGGGCAAACAGGATTGAATGAAGGCCCAAGTACCCAAGTAACCCTCACTTCCGGTCTCCTCACTCAGCCTCCAACCATAGTCCAGTCAGAAAGCGACTCAGGGCTAACTGCACTCCTTCCCACATGCCCGCCAAGTAAACAGAAGGCATCAAGTCACAGACAAAGGTGATGAAAACACAGAAAACACACAGCTTCCTCCCAGAGAAAGGAGACTGCCACTGCCAGCTGCGACAGTAAGCCCCTCACACAGCAAAACGAGGCCCAGGGGCTTTTTATTCAAGATACGATTTTTCTTCTTTTTCACTGTCTAGTATTACATGTCCAGGGTCTCATTTGATCAAAAGAAGAAGGAAGAGGAGGAGGAGGAGGGGCAGTCCACACCTGTAATCCTAGCTGTTCAGGAGGCTGAGATCTGAGGATCATGGTTCAAAGCCAGTCCAGGCAGGAGAATCTGTACAATTCTAATCTTCAGCTAACCACCCAGTAGCCAAAAGTGGAGCTGGGGCTCAAGTACTAGAGCACTAACCTTGAACAAAACAAGCTCTAGAACCAACCAACTCCAAACAAAAAAAGAAAGGGGAAAAAATGAAGCACAATCTAGGACCAAAGAGTGAGAGGAGCTGGCAGTGTGTGAAGGTGTGTGAAGAGGCTGGAAGGCTGTGGTCTGAGGAGACAGACATTAGTGACGCTCCAAGGTCCCTCCATGGCTCCGGGCTGGGCCTGGTGCCCTGCCCGGGGCGTCTGTGCGATCCCACCAGCACCCCACCTGCCAGATTACGCAGCCAACTCCCAAGCTGCCAGCCATGAATGATGGCCGCATCCACCGAACCTCAAACACAACCCCTGAAGGAAGACTAATTTCTTAGTCCATCCCTGGGGGATTTACTCAGTCCGTTGCTGTTTATTCCTTCGAAGTTTGCTCCACCATAAACGTCATGGCTCGATGTCTGTCGTGTTTATGAGAGGGCCTCCTTCTGTGAGCCAAACATGGTTTGTTTCAGATCACCAAGGCCTGGCCCTGGGAGTCCTGCTGAGTGTCCTGTGTCTCCTCACTGCTGGCTTTGTGGTTTATCTCAAGAGGAAGGCCCTGATCCGAGTGCTGTTCACACATAAGAAAACAGCCATGGAGAAGCTGAGGTACCTGCGTGGGGCTGGCTGTCTTTTTGAGAAAGGACGGTTGAAAGAACCGTCCTTCGCAGAGAAAGGGGCAGACACCTCTGGGGTGTCAGGTGGCCTCTTTCCAGAATATTCTGGTTTGGGTTTTTGTCCATTTCTGCCAGACCAGCTACCTGCTCTTCACTTTCCCTTCAAACAAACCCTGCACTGTTTCCTGCATAAATAACGCTGTCAGGGGTGAGTCCTGCCGGGGAGTTTTCCCCGCCCTTCCGAGGGGAGCGCGGCCGGCGGTCCAAATGCACCCAGACATCAGCACTGAAAGGCAAGCTTCAGACAAACTACTTCGCAGCTGCCTCCAAGCTGCGTGTCCGTAGATTACCAGAGCTCCTGTGACACAGGGGCGGCTTGGAGAACACACAGCAATGGTTGATCATCCCCTCAGAGTGGGAGATAATTTGACCTTTGCACATGAATCACCTGTAGGCAAAAACAGATGGAAAGGAAATGGGAAAAGTGAAGCCAGGGAGAAGGGGAGGCGCCCTTGGTTAGCGTGTACGGGTTTTACCTTGCAGGGGTGTGCGCCCCTCCCGGCCGGCCAACGGCTCCCATCCTGGACAGGCTCACCCCGCCCACCTCGGGAAAGGCCCGGTCAGCAGGCCACCCTGCTCCAGAACTTCCAAGGTAAGCTGAACCGGCCTGACGCTCAGTGTTCCACGGACACGTGAGCTGTGCCACACGTAGGAACCGGATCCTGCTGGGTCAGTAACTCCAAATGGCACTCACTGAGCCAGTCTCTGGGATGGTCCGGAACTACAGGAGTCTCTGGGATGGTCCGGAACTACAGCAGTCTCTGTAGTGACCCCCTTCTAGATCTTCCAAGGCGCAAGATGAGCTGCCTTCGCGGGGGTTCTGCTAGGAAAGCGTTCCGAGCGGGCTCCTCACCCCAGGGCCCCTTGTTGATTTCCAAAGTGACCGCTAGGCGTGAGGAGGGCTGTTGGTAGACAATATTCTCATATTTAATTTTACCAAGTTGTTTTGGGGTTTTTTTTTAGTGTATCCTTAAGAATTTTTTTCTGGTGGTAGTGGGATTTGAACCCAGGGCTTTGCTCTTGTTAGGCATCTATGTCTCCAGTGCTCTTTTCAGCTGGTTATTTTTTAGGATAGGATCTCATTCCTGCCCAGGCATCTACCTACTTTAGTCATCCAGAAGTTGCTGCCACCACAGACACGTACTGCTGCCCAGCTTGTAATGGTTAGGTAGTTACACAAAGGGCTGTCAACTCCGCACATCAGTCTATGGGTACCGTGCTCTTGATGAGTATCAGCCTTCCATTCCAGCCTCCCTCGATGAGGCCAAGCCTTCAAGGACTCTTCTGCTAGGGCTGGCCTGGAATCACAGTCCTCCTGATCTTAGCCTCCCAGGTAGCTTTCACTGATGAGCACAGGCCACTGTGGTCAGAGACATAGTCTCTAGAACTGTTCTGCCAGGGTTAGCCTCAACTGTCAATCCTCTGTTCTCAGCCTCTTACGGAGCTAGTATTACAGGTATGATTCCCTGGCATCTGGCTCAAGAATTTTTGAGCCTTGAACTCTGCCGTGATTTGGATATAAAATGTCCCCCACAGGATCACCTTTGGACTGCTTGGTCTGCATCATCATTCTTGGTACTTCTTCAAGACCTGCACCTGTTTGTTAATTGAACAAGTTTAGTTTGTTTGCTTTCTTGTTAGTTTACCGAGACGGAGTCTCTCTGGGATAGCCCAGGCCGTCTGGGAACCTGCAGTCCGCCAGCCTCCACTCCTGAGTGCTGGGATTATAATGGTGCACTACATCCCTAACTCAACCGTTTTTAGAGAGACAAATCAACCCCTCTCTCTAGTCCAGATTTGGGGAGCAGGTATATTTCAGTTGGAATCTTTGGATTTAAAGGAAAAGAGTTCCCCTCTATGCACCCCAGACTTCTTTCCTCTTCCCCGCCCTCCTCTACCTTTAGTGATCGCAGACACTTTTTGAGACCCCTAATGGGCTGGCTCTCCGCTTTCACCCTGCAGGACAAGAGATGGCCACCGTGTCTGGGTGCTGACGTCAGCAGAGCCCTCCACACCCGAGCCGCGCCTCGGCCACCATCTCCTCAGCGAGTGCTCCTGCCCCTGCCCCTGCGCCAGGCCCCACGCGTGCCCAGTGGCCCCGCCAGACCCCTGCCTGCACATCCCGGACTCAAGCACACCCAGGTACGCACGAGGTCACTCACAACCAGACCCGGCTTTTGCTAATGTGGACTTGCAATGTCTCTATGAAATGAAGATGATTTGGCTATTTAGAAGGTTAAACGAGACACTCAGAACACGGCCTAGACTACGGCAAGAAAGCTATCAGGTTTAATTTACTGGTAGTAACTCTGTGTGTGTGTGTAGGTGTGCACGTGCATACACACACACGCGTGCTGCCTCTACTCCTAGAGCCTTGAACTCAGGGCCTGGGCACTGTCCTTGAGCTTTTGTGTTCAAGGCTAGTGCTCTACACTTGAGCCACAGCTCTGCTTCTGGCTTCTTGGTCTTTAATTGGAGATAAGAGTCTCACGAATTTTCCTTCCTGGGCTGGCTTTGAGCCACAGTCCCCAGATACCAACCTCCTGAGCGGCTAGGATTACAGGCATGAGCTACCGAGGCCTGGTTAGTATGTTTTCTTTTGTTTTATATTCAGCGTACTTAGCGTGCCCATGCAATCAGGAGTGGGGAAGCTTTTCTGTACCAGGAGCTATCTGGCTATCTATATCATCATCCTTGGGCCTAGAATTGGAATTTCAATTTGACAAAAGCTGTTAGATTTATTGGATTCCAGGCCTCACCAGTGGTTGCCTATGCACAGTGAGACCAGATGGTTTGATGGGTCCTACACAGACATGTCAGGGCCAGGTAATGCCCTCAGGCTGGACGCCAGCATCCTGGCAGCACAAGGCCATGGGGAACGGTAGGGCACCCAGTCAGTGACACAGAGACAAGCAGTCCAAGGCCGATGATCACGCAAGGATAATAATGGTTCTCCTTCCTTACCGCTTTCACCTTCAACGTCCATTGTAATAACTTTGCCCCCTGTTGAATTTCTCTGGTCTAGCTTTCACACTGTAGTGTAGACTCTTCAAATATCTCATTTTTAATGCTGTGGATTTTTTTTGGGGGGGTGCAGGTCACTGTTGGTTTGGACCATGACTCTGACCTTTCACCACAGAAAATGAAGGGGGGGAAGAAGCAAATGAGAAATACAAAATAAGTTTTGCCTTAAAGTTCTTCTTATAATTTCTATACACTTGTATGTTTTAATCTAACTTATTCTTTATGTACACAACTGTATACCTGCTATTTGTGTTTTTCTTTTCTACTTTAAAGCCATCCCACATCCCATGGTATGGTAGATCCTCAGCGTTATGTCAGCAATGGCACTTTGCTTGAATAGAGAATAATTCAAGTTCTTGCCAATGAGTGGGCATGTTTAGATGTCTCTGACCTTCGTTATCTCTCAAGCTCTGTTCAGAAGATCTAAAGAAATCCATTTTGTACCTTTTCATTCCCTTAAGGAAGATTCCTAAAAATATCATCTGAACATGCTAAGACTCATAATATGTTAAGTATTCATCTAGGGCATTTATGTTCCATATCATCATCAGCTTATCCATCTTTGCTGGTACCAAATATGAACATTTCAACTCTTGGCCAATATGTACATAAAGCATAATCCTTCCAAAAGTTTTTGCCAGTCCTGGGACTTGAACTCAGGGCCTGGGCACTGTCCCTGAGCTTCTTTTGTTCAAGGCTAGCACTCTACCACTTGAGCCACAGGGCCACTTCCAGCTTTTTCTGTTTATGTGGTCTTGAGAAATCGAACCCAGGGCTTTATGCATGCTAAGCAAGCACTCTACCACAAAGCTACACTCTCAGCCCCCTCCAACTTTTTTTATAGCTAATAGCTTGATCCATTACTGAGATAGGGTATGGAAATGTCCAGCTATAATTGTGTGTCAGCGCATCAGATTTTGCTTCCAGTATGCTGAATCTCTTGCTGTTTGTAATACACATAATTGAGTTTATTATGTTTTCTTGATGAACTGTAAGATGCTTCTGTCAAGCTTTGGTCATCTCTGTTTTAAAGTCTACATTTTCTGATATTAATATATCTAACTAGTTTTCTTTTATTATCATTAGAAAAGTATGTCTTCTTTCCACTTTTTCAACATTAGCTTACATACGGCATTATAGTTAAAAAGGTTTATTTCAGGCATTTCATTCATTCTGCCACTCAATATCTTTTAAGAGCTGTCTTTAGATCATTTACATTTAATGCAATTATATTAGGATTAAGTCTGTTATGTTTGATTTCTTTCCTCTGAGTTTTATTTCTCTGTGCTCCTATTACTCTTCAGCCATTAGTCACTGAGAAATCCACAGTTCTCACTCTTACTCCTGGCTGTTGTCTGTCTGGAATCCTTCTGTGACATGTGATACAGGTTAAGTACATGGTTTCTCTCCCGCCACATAGAGGGAACTGCAATTAATTCCAGGCAGGTGTGGGGAATGTTTGGAGGTGGCTCTTGTTAGGCAGCCAGATGGAGCACACTGACCTTCAGTCCTTCACAGAACCCCCATTCCCTGCCCTGCCCGCCACAACGTGCCATACAGGAAACACGGCCACAAGCATTGAACTGGCCAACCTCACGCTGAAAGGACAATCAAGCTCTGCACAGGAGACACTCAGCCGCCACACGCTGTTCTAGTTAATGTGCAAAATCAAGGACAGGTGAATCAGCTCATTCTTGTGTCAGCTATTGTGACACAGTAAAGTGAGCCCTGGAATTTAAGCTTCTCATCCTAACTGCTCTGTCTGGATAAAGGGGGAAAAAAACTTTAATTTCCTTCTCATGCCTCCAGCTAGCTCAAAGGAAATGACTCAGTGGATTATTCATCTGGTTGTTAGCACCCTGTGCCAAGCTTCCCTGGGCCCCAGCCTGAACAGGTGCGCCAAGTGTGCCTGGAGAGAAACAAAGGCAGGCAGGCAGGAAGACAGAGAGGAAGGAAGACAGAAATAAAAGGCAGGCAGGAAGGAAGGAAGGCAGGAATAAGGAAGGCAGGCAGGCAGGGAGGGAGGGAGGGAAGGAAGGGAGGAAGGAAGGAAGGAAGAAAGAAAGAAAGAAAGGAAGGGAGGAAATAAGATAGGAAGGTAGGAAGAAAGGCAGAAAGGCAAGCAGGCAGGCAGGAAGGAAGGGAGGGAAGGAAGGAAGGAAGGAAGGAAGGAAGGAAGGAAGGAAGGAAGGAAGAAAAGGCAGGAAGGAAGGAAGGAAGGAAGGCAGGAAGGCAGGCAGGCAGGTAGGAAGGCAGGAAGGAAGGCAGAAAGGCAAGCAGGCAGGCAGGAAGGAAGGAAGGGAGGGAGGGAGGGAGGGAGGGAGGAAAGGAGGGAGGGAAGAAAGAAAGAAAGAAAGAAAGAAAGAAAGAAAGAAAAGAAAGAAAGAAAGAAAAAGAAAAAGACGGGGAGGAAATAAGACAGGAAGAAAAGGCAGGGAGGGAGGGAAGGAAGGAAGGAAGGAAGGAAGGAAGAAGGCAAGAAGGAAGACAGGAAGAAAAGGCAGGAAGGAAGGAAGAGAGGGAGGCAGGGAGGGAGGAAGAGAGGCAGGCAGGGAGGAAGGAAGGAAGAAGGCAGGAAGGAAAGGAGGGAGGAAGGAAGGAAGAGAGGAAGGAAGGGAGGGAGAGAAGGAGGGAAGGAGGGAGGGAGGGAGAGAGGGAGGGAGGGAGGGTAAAGGAGGAAAACAAGGAATTAAAAGAAATCATTTGCCAAGGCAGGGCCTTGTATAGAAGAGCTCTGTGCTTGGCATCGGTCTGCTACCTTGCCTACTTGTCAGATCTGTGAACCACCAGAAAGACATCCCCAGAGCAGGGAGATGAGGTGTAAGCCCATGAAGTATGTCTTACAAGGAGGAGGCAGGCGACAGGGGTCCGCAGGACCAAGGCGTCCTCAGAACACCTCGAGCACACAGAGCATCCACAGTCCTGCAAGAGGGGCTGGAGCTGCTAAACTTAATTAAAAATAAGGGTTGCAGGCATGGCTCAATGGTAAAACACTGGCCTAGCAAGCAGGAGTCCCTGAGTTCAAATTCCAGTACCCCCCCCAAAATTTAAAGACTAGAAGAGCCAGGCAGGGGTGGCTCACACCTGTAATCCTAACTACTTAGGAGGCTGAGTTCTGAGGATTACGGTTCAAAGCTCAAAGTGGTAGAATGCTAGCCTTGAGGGGAGAAGCTCAGGGCAGCATCCAGGCCCTGAGTTCAAGCCTCATGACCCACAAAAAAGACTAGAAGATATGGGTCACGTGGTAGACACCCCTCACTCCTCAGCACCCAGCTGTAAGGGGCGGGACACCTCCCAGAGGAGGCCTGCCAGACTCCTTGCACATGCCCAGCTGCAGTCCTTCCTGCCATCTCTTCTGATCCATCAGATTCGTGGATCCATTTACAGTTTAAACAAAAGCACGCTTAGTATCACATCAAAGAAATAAATTTCTCAGCTCACAGAACATTCTGTCTGTAGGAGAACAGGCTGCAAATTCCACAGATCGAAAGGCAATTTTCTGCTGTCAGATTCCAGCGTGCCCCTGGTCTAAAGGGGCATCTGCCATGCCTGGACAGGGCGTTCTTCCTGCAGGCCACTGGCTCAGCGCTTACCTCTCCCCCTTTCTCAACGTTTTCCCTGGAGCAGCTTCTGAATGCGAGTGAACACGGGAGCCTCTCGCCTTTGCCTAGTTTTATGTTTTAAGCATCCAACTTCCTGGGAAATGATGCAAAGTGATTCTCCTCATGGACTTCTATGAACTGCAGGGCTGTGCTCGGTGGCTAAGTTGGCTTCTCTAGTAAGATTAGCTCCTTCAACAGACTAGCAGGAAATAAAGAAAGACAGGTGAGTCCCTCTGTCACAAAGACAGACTTCTGTGGAATCAGAGTCTTTTCCTGAGAAGGGTGACAGGCTCATGAGAATACCCAGCAGCTCTTCTTCTGCGCTGCAATTCCATGCTGCAGATGTGCAGCAGAACAGTGGCGGGATTTATTTCTTCTTATCCCATTTATATGTGTGTTTGTATGTATTTTCAGGGCACAGGGAGCAGTCCTGGTACTGAGGTTTGGTCTCCCACTTGCTGGCAGATGCTCAAACACTGAGCCACACTTCCACTGTTGGGGTGTTTGCTGTTGTTG